TGTAATCTCTAGTGCCATTTCCTCCATAACTGTCTGCACATTAAATTTTTAATTATGTCCTTTTACTGCAATATTGCATTGCATTGTGTTTAGATTTTCACTATTTGGACATCTCAAATAGTAGTGCGACCCTGTCCAAGATGTCCATGAAATTGCGAAGTGTATGTGTGAGAAGTATGCGGAGGCTCAGGAAAAAAAGAGGACAAAAAGTTGGTGGGCTCAACATATGTGTACACATTGATGAAAGCAAGTTTCGCCACAGACGAAAAGTAAGCCATGCATTCAGAAAACATATATATTCTCTTCAAATGTGGATGTGTACACTGTAAAATAATCATAATTTTACTAAAAAAAATTGTACTCTGTAAAATTATCTCTAAATTACTTAAACAACTACTTGGCTGTTCATTTAGGCATTATGACATTAATAACAAATTACAGTAATTCACATTTTTTATACAGAAAATGTACTATATTTTTATACAGTACTTTTTCTGTTTTCTTAAATTACATACAAATGTATGTAAAATTACAAAAATAATCCGTAATTAATACAATAACAAAAACATTAGATGATAAAACAGCCAAATGACTGGCAGCAACAGTTGCCAAACAAAAACCATAAACAAAACTACCATTGTTTATCTACAGGCATTTCCTGAATTATGATCAAACATCTTCACTGTAAAAAAACATAAATTAATAATAAAAAAAAAAAATAATAATATAATTATAAAATGTCACATGACTGGCAGCAACAGAAAATTTAACACTAAAAGATCTCTCTAGATCTCAGCATCTTCACTCATTTCAATCCCGTCTGACTTTATTGCTTTCACACAAAACTTCGTATTAAGAATTAACAGAGGTTCAGTTTACTGGTGTAATTAGGTTTAGTTGGGCTCTTGACCCTTGTTTTTTAACTGTGTTAAAAACTGTTAACTGTGTGTTTCTAAAGCACATTTGTTATAGCAAAAATTGCGAGAGAAAATCTGATCAGATGAAGCTGGTTACTTATTGATGATGATTCAATGATTATATAGTGGCCTGATTCACTGATCTCATCCAGAGTCTTCTTTCTGAGTGTGCTAGCTGTTAGTTTTGCATTATACAGTAATCTTGTGATGTTATGAGTTATGACAGTCCAATATTCAGATTTTTTTTCATTCATTATATAGAAATTGGTTTGAGCTGTCTTTTTGACTCACAAACATCAAGAATCAGTGCATGAATCTCAACAATGGTGACATTAAATAAAAAGTTTTTTGTGACTTTAGTAGTTTGTTTTGTGATGTTCAGAGTTGATTTGTTTATCTGAATATTTTGTCGACTGTCACCATTGTTGCGGTTTATACACAGACTCTTGATGTCTGTGTGAGTCTACATGATCCTGTCCAAATCATTTGAAAATCAACATTCAAAATCTTCAGTAAGAAACCAATTTCACCTGATCTGATTTTTTCTCTCAATTTTTTCTATAACATGCAGTGGGGAAAAAAAGTATTTAGTCAGCTACCAATTGTGCAAGTTCTCCCACTTAAAAAGATGAGAGGCCTGTAATTTTCATCATAGGTATACCTCAACTATGAGAGACAAAATGAGAAAAAAATCCAGAAAATCACATTGTAGGATTTTTAAATAATTTATTTGCAAATTATGGTGGAAAATAAGTATTTGGTCAATAACAAAATTTCATCTCAATACTTTGTTATATACCCTTTGTTGGCAATGACAGAGGTCAAATGTTTTCTGTAAGTCTTCACAAGGTTTTCACACACTGTTGCTGGTATTTTGGCCCATTCCTCCATGCAGATCTCCTCTAGAGCAGTAATGTTTTGGGGCTGTCGCTGGGCAACATGGATTTTCAACTCCCTCCAAAGATTTTCTATGGGGTTGAGATCTGGAGACTGGCTAGGCCACTCCAGGGCCTTGAAATGCTTCTTACGAAGCCACTCCTTCGTTGCCCGGGCGGTGTGTTTTGGATCATTGTCATGCTGAAAGACCCAGCCATGTTTCATCTTCAATGCCCTTGCTGATGGAAGGAGGTTTTCACTCAAAATCTCATGATACATGGCCCCATTCATTCTTTCGTTTACACGGATCAGTCGTTCTGGTCCCTTTGCAGAAAAACAGCCCCAAAGCATGATGTTTCCACCCCCATGCTTCACAGTAGGTATGGTGTTCTTTGGATGCAACTCAGCATTCTTTCTCCTCCAAACACGACAAGTTGAGTTTTTACCAAAAAGTTCTATTTTGGTTTCATCTGACCATATGACATTCTCCCAATTCTCTTCTGGATCATCCAAATGCTCTCTAGCAAACTTCAGACGGGCCTGGACATGTACTGGCTTAAGCAGGGGGACACGTCTGGCACTGCAGGATTTGAGTCCCTGGCGGCGCAGTGTGTTACTGATGGTAGCCTTTGTTACTTTGGTCCCAGCTCTCTGCAGGTCATTCACTAGGTCCCTCCGTGTGGTTCTGGGATTTTTGCTCAGTTCTTGTGATCATTTTGACCCCACGGGGTGAGATCTTGCGTGGAGCCCCAGATCGGGGGGGATTATCAGTGGTCTTGTATGTCTTCCATTTTTTAATAATTGCTCCCACAGTTGATTTTTTCACACCAAGCTGCTTACCTATTGCAGATTCAGTCTTCCCAGCCTGGTGCAGGTCTACAATTTTGTTTCTGGTGTCCTTTGACAGCTCTTTGGTCTTGGCCATGGTGGAGTTTGGAGTGTGACTGTTTGAGGTTGTGGACAGGTGTCTTTTATACTGACAACGAGTTCAAACAGATGCCATTAATACAGGTAACGAGTGGAGGACAGAGGAGCCTCTTAAAGAAGAAGTTACAGGTCTGTGAGAGCCAGAAATCTTGCTTGTTTGTAGGTGACCAAATACTTATTTTACCGAGGAATTTACCAATTAATTCTTTAAAAATCCTACAAGGTGATTTTCTGGATTTTTTTTCTCATCTTGTCTCTCATAGTTGAGGTATACCTATGATGAAAATTACAGGCCTCTCTCATCTTTTTAAGGGGGAGAACTTGCACAATTGGTGGCTGACTAAATACTTTTTTGCCCCACTGTATATATATATATATATATATATTCTAAGGTGTCAGATCAATTTAATTAACAAATCAATTGAATAAGGTAGGCATGCTGCATGTGTAAGATGTGATCCTGAGATGGGATTTGTGTGCTGTCTTAGCTCATGTTCATTGGGCTGTTGTGTTGTCAAATAAGAAGGTGAGGTGTTGCCTAATCCACAGGGACTGAATACCTGGGCAGAATCAAGCAGACTGCAACTTGCTCACAGGAATGTTGGCGGGTGGCCCGTCAGAGACAGAGTAGAGCTCTTTAAATGAGGAAATGTTCGTCAAGGTCTTTGCAGCGGTCACTGATTTTTTTAAAAATGTATTTCTTTTTATTTTTGTGCCAATCTATAGCTTCATGTGTGGTTTGCAAAATGTACAGCGCTTAGTGGAGCAACTCTTAAGAAGTTAGCTATTTATTCAATGGCGGCTTTAACACTTTTATCAAAGAAAAGGCTGGCCCTGTAAAAAAATACAGCACTGATAGCTGAAACGTCTAGTGATAAGCAGTATTGTTTTATATCAGCCTTTCACAGTCCATGTGATGAGCACAGGTGACTGACCCGCCGGCTTTTCCCTTGTGGTTCTGTTCTTTTGTGTTGTGTTGGGAAATTATGTATAGAACGGCCTAGTGAAATAGACTTCCTCCTCATTCTGCTGCTAGATGCTGTGTTCCTGAGACACATGATGTAACAATGGGTGGGACGCTGTGAAGAGCTCTGTGTGTGTGTGTGTGTGTGCGTGTGTGTGTGTGAAACAGGCTTGTTGTTGCATGAAGGATGTTTTTCTTTTCAGCTCCACCTCTTGAAGTGTGAATGTCTTTTACTGTTTGTTTATACATCATGCAGCAATACAGTCTTTCTGTCTAATGAACACTATATGCCATATAAAAAAAGCTTAATTTGCATTAGGGCTGGGTGGTATCGAGTTTGTAGCCTACGATATATCTATATTTTCTTTATAAGCGTGTGTGTGTGTGAAACAGGCTTGTTGTTGCATGAAGGATGTTTTTCTTTTCAGCTCCACCTCTTGAAGTGTGAATGTCTTTTACTGTTTGTTTATACATCATGCAGCAATACAGTCTTTCTATCTAATGAACACTATATGCCATATAAAAAAAGCTTAATTTGCATTAGGGCTGGGCGGTATCGAGTTTGTAGCCTACGATATATCTATATTTTCTTTATAAGCGATTCGATATGAGGCAATACCGTTTATATCCAACGGTGATGCCAACCCCTCAGAGGACCTCAGATGATGCCAACCCTGAAACAACTTACAGAACTACCACATTTTGCTATAAGTTTGATTGCATCATATAATAATTGCTGTTAATAGTGTTCATCGTCTGTTTGATTACGTCTTTAATTGATTTTTCCGTACATTTCTGCCATATGTTCATTAACTGACAGTCACCACTGATAAGCTACCACTAAATATTGTAGAAACTTAATTTGCTAAGTTAAGTTAAGTTACTTTGCAATGATTTGTATTGTAAAAAGGGCTGTACAAATAAACTTGAATTGAATTATATCGATATACAGAAGTTTGATATGAGCGCATCTAAAAAATATAGAGGATGACACAGACTGAGCTGCTGCTGAGAAAGTGCATAATCCAATTTGCTCTAAACGTGTGACAAGCTTCATATTAAGGCCTTTAAAAACTGGTGAGACATAGGTTATAGTTTCGTTTGGCATATTAGTTTAAGCGGAGGGTGGACCAACTCCAGGGTAAGGCTAAAAGCAGCCAAATCTATTAACTACAAACATCATAACCCGTCTTTTTAGGCAAGAACCAGACATGGGCGTCATGTAGGCTAATAAAATGTTTAGTGGGACTGAATTTGTATTTAACGTGATTACAATTTAATAAAAAAACATTAGAAATTGGTAATTATAAAACGTTTCCTTTCCAAGGTTATTCAAACCGCGAATAAATTATTATACAGAAGGTGACATTATCACTAACTTTGATCTATCGCGAGTTTAAGCACTCTAAAAAAAAAAAAACCTATCGTTATAATCATTTAAGCTGTCTTGCCTGCACTGTGAAATGAATCTCTTACTTACATTGTACATACATCTGCGCGTCCGGAAATCAGTCAGCGAACGCGCGCGCGCACTCAAAACTGATGAGTTTCAGCGATGACTCATCTGAACGCCTCTGATTGGCCATTGCATTCCTAAGCTCAACATAATCGTGTGTGATTGGTTATAATGCAGAACACTGTATAAACTCCTAAACTGAAATACGGTGCAACATGAGCAGATCTTAATTTAATGCCGCAATCGGCACTTTCTGTTCATTTTTATTTTGTTAGCAACAGTCGTAATAGATTTAGTTTGTTTGTGCAGGGGCATTTTTGTCCAATTTAGTGGCATATTTGCCCCAACTCGCTGTGGCCAGGGGAAGGCTTAGCTTTACACACGCTCCGCCTATGTGCATGAGCCTTCTGCTTTGAGATTCTCCGATATATATATCCCAATTACAAAGACGAAAATACCGAGATATATACCGTATATCGCAAATCGGCCAAAAAATACAAAGATATGAATTGTTGCCCATATCGCCCAGCCCTAATTTGCATAGATGACACTCCTTATTTTCCAAGTTTTGTTATTATTGTTGTTGTTATATTATTATTATTTATATTATCATTAATATTATAAAAGTAATGAGTAAAAAAATTATAGTAATAGGATGATGATATTATTATTTGTAGTAATATTTGCTATATAATGCATTTATTGTATATATAGTACTAAAATTATATTAATTTTAATTTATTTAATTATTATATTAATAATATTTATTGTTAATAAATAGTAGTTTGTTGTTTTATTAATGTTGTTATTATTATAACTTAAGTAATGATGAGTAAAAAATAATTATAATAATGGTAATATGGTTATGATATTATTATTATTATTAATAGTAGTTTTTTAGTAGTATTTTTTCTATATAAAGTGTTTGTGTATATAGTACTGAAATATTTATTTTACGTATTATATTTAAATAGTATTTATTGTTGTTGTTATATATAATATTAAAATAATAATATAAACACTATTAAAATAATATCATCATTACTATTACTATAATGATTTTTAATTTTTACTTATTTTTTACTTGTGTGTGTATATTATTCTTAGAATTTAATGCTTCTTAAATAGCAGTAACATTCAATAAATGCTCTTTTGTTTGACTCCGGAGGAAGTTTTGAAGTCTGAATGTAACAGGTTTTTTTTAGTATATCAGATTCTTTGGCCTCACTTGAAGAGAGAAATTTTCACTTTGACTACATTAAGACTTGGATCATAAATGGAAAACTTACTGTGCTACTAAAAGTATAGTTGTGTTTGTTAAAGTGGACTTGATGTTAATAATTACGCATGTTTTCCATGCCAATAACCTGATTGTGTCACTTCCTTTTGCAGTCTGGCCCAATGCAGGAACAAATGAGATCCAAAGTGCCTCACGCTAATGGACGAAACAGCTTGTTATAGCCTCTTTACCTGTGAGTATGAACACTCACACACCTTCCTCTTCTTCTCCATCCTCTCGCTTTCACTCCGTTTTAACCACAGACCCTCATCTGTTCTCCAGGCTTTTTTGTTTTTTACCCGAAGCCCCAGTGAGTGTCCTCAGCAGAACCTGTGCAGCTAGCAGCACTGCACCAATGAGGAGGAGATAAAGAGCAGATCCTGATCACCAAAACGACAACCTCCTTGCTGCAGCTACCAACATGGATGCCACCTCTGCAGGTTTCTTATGTTTTGGATCCTCTGGAATGTCTCAGAGGAGACGTTTACCCCCCCCACACACTCTAAGACTGTCATTAAATTTGGACCGGATTGTATGAGAACGCCTGACAAAGAGTGTGAATGTGTGCCGTGTGCATTTAAGACACTGGCTGTGCTTGCTGTGGAAGAGGAAAGGCTCTTATCGCTTTAACACAGGGGACCATTTGACTGCCTTTCCAAAGTTATAACTGGCATGTTTGTCACAGTCTGTCATTGATAAGGATGTGCGCAAGTGTGTGTTTGCTTTTGTTTTGTAATGGAAATGTTTGTGCACCAATACCATTATAGTGTCTCCAATTGCTTGCATTAGCAGTTGCACAAATTAGTGCATTATACAAAGCAATCTGGTATGTGTATAGAAGATGAATATAATATGAAAATATGGCTTTTTTTTAATTTCCACATGTCTGATATTGCATTGACAAATAATGGCCTTTATAACTATAAAGGAATAGTTTAAAAAATACTAATTTATTCACCTTCAAGTCATTCCAAACCCATATAAGTTTCTTTTATCTGTGGGGAAAAAATTATACATTTTCATACAGTGATTTTCAGTACAACATCAATGCGGATTGACAATGTTTAAGCTGTAAAATAAAAATATCGAAAAGTGGCTCATATTCCAAGTTTTCTGAAGTTTTCCATTTGCTTTGTGTGAGGAACAGACCAAATGTGTCATTATTCATTGATTATCGTCCCCTCAAGTGAACTCTTAACTTGAGAATTACATGCTACAGGAACATTGAGTCGATAATTTGGGAAGCGATCGTAGGGCTTCAAGGTGACTTGGAATAAATTTCCACATGTCTGATATTGCATTGACAAATAATGGCCTTTATAACTATAAAGGAATAGTTTAAAAAATACTAATTTATTCACCTTCAAGTCATTCCAAACCCATATAAGTTTCTTTAATCTGTGGGGAAAAAATTATACATTTTCATACAGTGATTTTCAGTACAACATCAATGCGGATTGACAATGTTTAAGCTGTAAAATAAAAATATCGAAAAGTGGCTCATATTCCAAGTTTTCTGAAGTTTTCCATTTGCTTTGTGTGAGGAACAGACCAAATGTGTCATTATTCATTGATTATCGTCCCCTCAAGTGAACTCTTAACTTGAGAATTACATGCTACAGGAACATTGAGTCGATAATTTGGGAAGCGATCGTAGGGCTTCAAGGTGACTTGGAATATAAAATGACTTTTGTGGACCATATTTTGTGCTTATTTAAATTTTTTGGGGTGGGGGAGCAACTAACAGGCACTGAATTGTTGTTGTATTGAAAAAAAACTGCATGAAAATTCTTTAAAAATTCTCCACTGTAAAAAAAATAACCGCGTTTAAGTCTGGAAGGATGCAAGGATGAGTAAATAATTTTTTTAGGTTAATTATTCCTTTAATCCCTAAGTATTAGAAAAAGGCTATTATCTGTTTATCTGAGTGGAGACTTTGAACGGTGGCTTCCTGCCAGTAGCGAGCCACTGCCCTTTGTCATTGAAACCACATTTAGTCTCACTTTCACACATCAAGCTCCACCCCACACACAAGCTCAAACACACACTCTCTGTTTCCAGTCCTCACACGGCACCACGATTAAATCACTGTTTCACACACTTTGTGGATTTTACTCTGTACTTTGTTTTTGAATGTAGCACAATGTTGGGCTGAAATGTTAAACACAATGTTTTTGCTTTTAATTGTGATGTTTTATTTTGAATGCATTGCTTTGCAAGATCCCAAACTGTAATTTACTTTAAGTGTTTGCTGTAATTTGTTAGGGAATGTCATAGGACAAAATGTGCGTAGAGAAAGCTTTCAGAATGTTCATGTTGCTTTAGAAATCCAGTGTTTTTGCATTTCATTCTTAGCTGACAGTGTAGAGAAACGTGCAGATGTTTGCATCTCAGCCGAAGACCTCGACAGCTCCCTTAACTTAATTATGCATGTTTCTTGCAGATTTTCTCACTTTTTGGTTTTGTTTGTTTTTTTTTTGTTTTTTTTTTAAGTATCTGTCTTTTTAAAACCATAATGTTTGTGCAAAGCCCTCATTAGGCTCTTTTTGTCTTTAATACTTTTATTCTTCTTTACTTTTTAAATTTTTTTTATAAACGTCTTTTAGTCTATTAGTCCAACTGATTGATTTTGTGATTAAATGGGAGCAGTAATAGTGTTCTGTTCATATGGCATGGTGTTATGTTGATGAATGTTTTTGTTGTGCTTTGGTTCGTAACAATACAGTTGTACAAAGAGCAGTCTGTTGGGTTTTTATTGAGACACGCACAGTATTATTATCTAATGTGTATTTTCAAAAATGCTCTTGAGATAATTTGAGAAAGGTTGATAAATTATATAACTTTTTTTTTTACATTGTTTTTCTTTGCTCTTTGCTTTGTGTCTGCATGACTTTAATAAAAACTATAATTTTCTAATTCAGTTCTTGGGGAAAAAAAAGTCAATTGTAAGATGTAAACTCAGAATTCAGACTTTTTTTCCTCTGACATACGTACATGTCGCAGTTCTGGTTTTTCTTCCGGCTACAGAAAAAAAAAGATAATTGCGACTTCTCACAAAAAAAGTTGAAATTACCTTTAATTTTTTATTCCGTGGCAGAAACGAACTTCCATAAATGTTCATGGCTGCAAAAAGGAGCATAACTAATGCAATAAATAAGGATTTCAACAGGATTTTCTTATTACTGTAAATATATTAAGGGCATTTAGTGAGGGCTCAGGGCTGTGCCTTGACTTGGTGTTTTGTTTTCCTTGCCATTCGTGTTTGTACAAATGTAAACCTTAAATTTATGGGCTAAGAAATCAAAGCTGATCCCTAAAGCATGTTTTAACATCAACTGTAACAGCCGTTAGTAAAGCAGCTCATGGAGCACTGCGTGAAAGGTTGCACAAGACCCCTACAAAAACAATGAACCTTTGGCACGAAGATTATTTAGGTCTCAGACCGGTACAGAGCATGTTGCATTTTACCGTAATTTCCTTTTTCTCACAATGGCTTGAAAAACAGTAAAGCAGGCCGTCACAGACTAATTGTGTACACCTTCTGAGATATTTCAGTTGCGTATATTTACTAAACATGCCTCCTCATTCAGAAATTCATAAAGGATATAATTTTCTCAATTTTATTAAAAAGATAGGATACAAAATAAATGAAATAGATGCCACAGATTCTAAAGAGAAATTTATCCTAAGTTCATTTGATAATAAATACAAGGTATAGAATATACAAGGTTTCACGGCAAACTCAATATCAAAGTCAATATCCATTTTTAACATATTTCTATAATTATTCAAAAAAAGTTATATATATATGTTTTTTTTAACTGGTTTATTTTTGTTAGTTCCATGACAATTTAAATGCATATATAGATTATTTGCCTTATTTAGAATAGGATGTTATAGTAGCCATGAATATATATATATATATATATGTTTTTTTGCATTGAATACTAATGCATAGATTTTATGTTTCATTCTGTCGTGCATTCAATAGATGCATCTGAAAATCAGCTCTGTTGAAGTACTATTATGTTAAATGACCATTCTGTAGTTGATTCATTTATATAAGAGAATTATTCGCTTAGACAAATCCAAGACATGAACTTTAGTTTCTACTAAACATTATTGACTTGCATAACCCAACATCTGGCACATAAAGCATTACAACAGGAATCTGTTATTTAACCTTCCAGAAGTTCTCGCTCTGTTCCGGTTTGTGACTTCAATGCAGCTACCTCACTTCCTCCCTCTGCCAGAGCCGGTTTCCTGAAAGGTGCAGGGATATCTCCATGCCGACTCGCAATAAAAAAAATTTAAAAATCCCCTTCCACTATTTCCTCATTACAATTAACAGATACAATAAAACAAAGTAAATCACAGCAGGTGTTTTAATGTAACCCTTTATTTCCTTAAATATCATAGACAAGACATACATGTAGTATGTGCAGTTTGAAAGCTCAGGTTGTTCAGGTGTGGCCTTGTATAAATATTTGCACATAGGAGTCTATTAAATGAAAGCACATTCAATGGGCCACTTTACAGGCAGCAGCAGCTGATCATTAGAGAACATTTCCCAACCATATTCCAGAAGAAAACCAAGCACGATTATATTTGCAACAAGTATAAACTGAACAATGCGGCTTCTTACAGCAATATTACACACTTTGTTTGTAATAGCTTTCTGATTTTGCATTGAGTTTGAGCATTGCTGCATTTGTGCTAAAAACATTCACACGTGATTAAATGCTCAAGTACAATGCATTTGACAGAATAGATGATAACTATTTGAATAAAATAGTCAATACCACTTTACAAGACTTATAAAAACAGCCAGATAGTAGTTTGAAGAGTTTGAACCATATAGATATGATGGTTCATACAGGTTTCAGATAACATACAATAAGATTTTGTAACCATTTAGTGCAAATATTAAAACTAATATTTATCCTAATTTGGGTATGTTCACTGTAAGTCCAAAAGGAAATGTTTCAAAAGAAGTAGTTGGTATTTATCATGCCTAAATATAACAGGTTTTATGAAAAGTAATTGGTATTAATGAATGTCATTTTCTACAGTCTGGGAAACATGACAAGGTTGTCTGTTTTTGTGTAACAGTTTAAATGCAATGACGTCAAACAGGCTTTCATGTTGCTCACAGAACTCTCCCGACCCACCTTACGGCATGACACAGCTCTTGTCTCTTTGAAGCACAACACTGCCTTTTTGTATTTCATCAAAGAGTCGTCTGGTAGGAAGCTGTTTTTCTGTCATTAGGGCATTTGCCCTAAAGCTTGACCTTTAACCCCAGCCACATGCATTTCACCCCAGTCCAGTGTGAAGTCTGTCTATCAGACACCTTCACCTGTTCATCTGCTCATCATACCTGCAGAACAAAACAAACCATCTCCATCACTGGTAGCACTTTTTATTTAGTGAAAACAATTAAGAATTCAAATGTAGCTAAAATCTATTTAGAAAATATTTCAATATCAGTGGATACTTTTTGATGTCATTTATTTACAGAAAAAAAAGCCCAGGTAGGATAACAAGGTGAATAATATACAAGTTAGATTCAAGCATATCACTTTCACTGGTATCTAATTTTTCATTTATTTGAAACAATAAAGAATTAGATTTATTGATAATATTTATTTATGAATTGCGCATTTAATGATACATTTGATGTAAATTATTTACAGAGAAAAGACTAGATATGATATGACATATCACTTTCACTGGTATACTTTTTATTTATTTTAAATAATAATAAAATCAAATGTATTCATTAAAATGATCCAAAAATATTTATTTTATGAAAACATCCAATTAATATATTTTAAATGTAATAATTAGGATCTATTCATAAATGTATTCATTTAATTAAAAAAAACAATAAATATTTATTTTACAAATACATTTTATCAGTAAATGTAATTGTTTAATGAAAAGCATGATACCAGTGAATGTAATATGTTTAAGTCAAACTTGTATAATTTCCTTACCTTATTTCTTCCTCTTTCCCCCCATCATTTCTGGTCATTTCTCATTAAATAATTTACATTAATAATGATCGATACATATTTCTTTTATATAGAAATGACAAGATTTGTTATAGAAGCTGGACTCAAACATAAAAACCATTTATGGAAAGAATTTATTTTTAAAATGAATAAAAATGATATATCTATATTTCTCTCTATATATACATGAATTTTCTTTTTAGTCCAGGTTTTGGAATAATGACAGCGCACTATTGTGGCTTGATGTGGGCACTCACTGTCTGATGCAGTCTGGGATTTGCAGCTGGGCCACAGGAACAAACTCTGCCAGTTCCTGCAAGCTGTGGATGAAGCGCATCTTCCTGCTGAATTTCTCACTGCAAGAGAGAGGGAAAGGAGTCAGACTGAGGGCTTTAGGTATTAATAATGATTATGACATTTTGAGCTCTGTTTGCTGAACCAATGGTCATCCACACTCACCTGATGAAGGGTTTGATGACGGTGATTAACGCTCTCACGTACCAGGCAGGGTGAACCACGAAAAGCCCTTTCAAGTCTTTCCTTAACCTGCAGAGGGTTTATCAGAAAATATAGTTAATAGCTCAATCAGAAAAGAAAAAGGCAAATATCTATGTATTAGCACATAAATCTATTTTGTTTCCAATAACTGGTTGGTTCTCCCACTAGAGAAGCACGATGCCAGCAGAACATGACGACTGGCACCAGCACCACCCTGACCCGTGTGAAACCATGCGAGGCAGGGTGTTGAATCATGGGACACAGACAGCCAGAAACTTGGAGACAACAGTTTGTTTATAACATATTCCACTGGTTTCCTAGCTCAGAAATCATCCGCAAATTGAACCATTTTTTTCTGTTTATTCTGATCTACAGTGGGGTCCAAAAGTCTGAAACTGTCAGTAAAAATCATTTTGATTTTGCATTTTAAATGTAATTAAATTACATTTTTAAATTGTACAATTTAATTACAGCTGAAATACATATTCTAACTTTAAATTTGTTTTTTTTTTTACATTTTTTAACATTAACATTCAAGTGAAACACTGAATTGAAAAATCACCATGAATTCCAGAGTTTATATATATATATATATATTTGTTTTATTCTCTTTTTTGCTTTAAACATTTCAGAAAGATCCAAAGTGCATCTTTGTATATCAATGGAAGCAATACGGAAACAAACATTCACTTATTTGATATTTGATCAATGTTTTGTATTCATACAGTATTTATTGGCAATTTTGTTTAAATGCAAAATGCTAAATGTTTATTTCAATTCAATTTTGATCTCAGATTTTGAATGCGATCTCAGAATGTTTTGTTTTCCATGAAAAGGTCAGTGTTTCCTCTGAAACTGTAAAGAGTGTAGCTAAATTTACTTTATCGCAGGATAAAGTTTCCCTTTAGATTGACTGGCATTTCACATGAGTTCATTTCCCCCCTCGCAGTTCCTCTTTGATTGTGTGAAGTCATGCTTGACTGTTTATTTCTGTTGTTTTCAGTTGGCGTCTGTACAGTCAGCAGCTTATGAGTGATCGCAGAGGAAACTTCATGCAGTGACGCAACAGAGCCAGCAGGAATGACAAATTGGGCTTTCAAGAGCATCCCACACTCCTTAGTTCCTCATTTCCCAAATTGATCTCACATGATAAGTCGACCTTAAATTTCCAGAGTTTACAAATTCCTCACATAAAACATTTATGAGACTGACCTTCACCTGGAAGAATGAAATACAACTGTGAGATAGCTATGCCAGAATTCAACATGAATTTACTATGGTAATTCTTTTGCTGGTCAATAATCGCATAACAGGCCCTTTTAGA